GGACAGGAGCTGCTCTCGCCGGAAATGCTTTGAAAGGGTTGTCCTGGTGAGGAAGGCCGGTGATATTATAGTAAATTCCGAATGGCTGTTTGTACCGACATTGCAAAATTGAGGATGGCCTTATACTAAATATGAAATGCACACTGTAGAGAAGTGGTCACAGAGCTACTGTTCCTCCCATCAAACACATTACACTTACCCCTACGAGACGACTGAGAATTCTACCCAATGGAGTCTCTTCAAAAAACGATAATGGAGCTCGCATAAGAGCAGCGACAAGCGGGTGGTGAAGAGCTAAGGAAGCGCGCACTCCTCCAAACGTTGATGACACAGTTGCGATGATATTGAAGAGCACTGAAAAGCTAGAAAATTAGAAACTTGTTCAAGCAAATTAGCCAGCGGAAGAAAAAGAATTTTGGTAAGTTGCATTGTAATTTATCTGAGGCACACAGAGCAAGTTTCACCTGTTTCGAAAGAGCTTGCGAAAGGTATCAGAGGCTTTTTAAAGGAATCTTGCGCGGAAAAATCATGATTCTATTTCAGCCATAAATCACTGGCTTGAGACTCATTATCCACGATAATAGTGAAAAGAACTGAAGTATTGCTTTCGTTTTGATTAGAAATTCGAAAACTCGAAAAGGCTGCTACGCGTTCGAATTGCCCACGGACGTCTTTCACGAATGCTGGCGACGGGGATGCTCAAACTTGGTTCTTGGAGTGCATTCACTAGAAGCTCTTTCTGGCCTTCTGCTTCGTTGCATTCACATCTTACACTTCTACTCCATCCTATTCCATCGATCGATTTGTCTCCACTCTCCGAAATCGCGCGCTTTAACCCGATTCTCTCATTGCGTCGCCTGGTACGTAGCCGGCCAAACGCCGTCTTCTTTCCATGCCTCGCCTGGCTCTGCCTCCTGGTCCTTCGATGGTCCATAACGTGTAGTTTTTGTACGTTTGTTTCTCTTCAGAAACCGAATCTTCATGCGTGAAACTTTGTGTGCTATTTCCAGTGATCACAACTGACATATTCATGTTAGGAAAGAGTGCAAGAATTTTCCGCGCAAGATTCCTTTAAGTACTTTCTCCCATTCTCATGTTGAGTAGAACGTGGCTAGGTCGTGCGCGCGCTACCTTACCACGTGCTTACCCCAGCCATCGTATAATGGTCATGGACATCTTACGGTGAATTAGGTGTTGCATGACTCGCTCGTACCGACGGGTTCCGCTTCTGCATCCCATGGTGTTGTGATTGCCAGCGATTGGTGTTGCTCATGTTTCCTACGCTCACATCTGCACCCAATGTGTTTGTTTGAATGTTTCGAAGCAGCACGTCCACTCCATCAGATCAAAAATTCTCATTTTCAAAGTTTTTGACTGCTTCTTCTTCCTGTTTTCGCTGTTCTTTACTTTGCATGAGTCAATCGCTGATGACTCCGCTTGGATAGTAGCGTCTCGTTAACAATGTCTGCAAGGAAAGCAAAAAGTGACCTCGTCAAAAATTTGATCTCATTACCTCTTGCCCGTCGGCCCGGGTGACTAATGCACAACAGTTCATTACTACGTTCAGACAATTGTTCCGCAGATTTGTGAGGCGATTTGAGTCAGTGTCCAAAAATCACTCGGTGGTGTATGCCTCGTTACAGATGGTCACCTCTACCTGTTATGCCGATTTTGTCAGGAAAAAGAGATTCTTCCTTGTTTTTATCCCATTGTGGTCTTTTTACTTGGTATCTTTTGTGACCGCTGGGTCAAGTGTTGCAGTTAGTTTCCGCATTGGATGTGGCGTTAGTCTAGAATTTCAACAACAGCTTGCAGAGTCTTGCACGCGGTTGAATTTCGATAGCAATTCTATGTACAGGGTGGGCATAAATTACGGTAACAAGAGGTTGCTGCTGTCCAAGAGTTCCAATTTTAAACACCAGGAGTTTCTGAATGTATTATCCTATGCATTTGCTATGATAATTAAGTGTTCCTTCTTCGATTTAGTCACATAAAATATATCCACTCCGGGATGGACAAGCTTTTAACTCCTTGAGAAACAATCACTACTTAGCTCCGACAAACTGTTTGATTGTGTTGCACTGCAAGGGTTCTGAAGCTCTTTGAAACCTTCATAGGCCACCATTACGAAGTTCAATAGGCTAGTTACCAGCAGTCATAGGCCTGCCTCACTCGAAAGATGTGGTTTCTGCGACTGCACGGAGTAGTATCTCGAAGATATCGGTTACGTAACAAGCGCTACGAAGCCAAGCTGACTTCATTCCGTCGTTTTGTCGCTGAAACTGCTATCTAGCACACTTCCTGAAACGATTTGTTCCACACGTCTTAACAAAAAGGATTACGATCATGCAAATGCTTAACATACAACCGATTCGGGAAAATTGAATAGAAATCAAAGATGCTAGAAGTTACTGTCTAGATTATGTCATGAGCTTATTATCGATCGTTTCCTTAGTGGGAAGATGGTCTGCTGTCTGGCCACTCTGGAATAAAAGGGCAACTGGACCAATGCTAGTGAAATGCCATTCAGCCACTCAGTGATGGCTTTCGCAGAAATCACAAGAGCAGAAATCACGATTCGAAGACACATCGGACCTCTGCTGCTCAAGATAGAAAACTGGATAGTAAAAATCATCTCGAACTCCTTCTACCTCGGCTGATGCTTCATACCGTAAGGACCTTCAATGGGAAACACAGGGCATCAGAGCAATATTGGGCGCCCATCACAATGCAGAAATTGCCCAAAAATCGACGCAACCCGATTGTCTTGGAAATCATCATACTGGGGAAGCGGCAACATAGCTCTCCCAACGCTAGTCCTACCACAATTTCTGTATTGAGTGTGCCGAAGGCAAAGCATTGCTATAAGCATAATAGGAGCATCGACTGGTCGAGCAGTCGCTCTCTGAAAGCCTTGGACCTACTTTACCACACCGACCTACACAACAGGGTAAGTGACTTTGTAGGAAATCTTCGTTTATTTCTCAACGCAGAAAGCGGTCACTTCAAAGGGCAATATTGCTTTCTGTTTGATAATCTTCCACCAACATGATGGTAATTTAATTTGGGACTTCTCGACCACATTGCTTTTTTATTACCGTTTTATGTTGTTACCGTAATTTTTGCCCACCTTGTATATCAGCAGAGCAGGCCACTGGCGCTTGTACGAGTGTTTAACGCGCACGAGACGCCGACGGCATGTTAGCTAGTCAATCTAGAGAATCATGAAACCGAAGAAAACATGGGGAAGTCAGTTTGTGCTTGGGGTGGAACCGGCTCCAACGGTTGTGGAATTTAAGCACTTTTTCAAAATCTCTCTCTTGTGGCGATGTCTCAGTCTAGTCATCTTGTCACATCAGAGCACTTCTGCCAAACGACGGCTAACATGCTTTGATTCCTTTCCAGCGGTGTCGTGCAGTCTCGAGTCATGGGGAAACCAATGACCGAGTCTTCCATTGATAAGAAAAACCAAACCAGATCAGAATGTGACGGCGGTGCTACATAGTCCATTTGGGTTGGACCATCGCGATCAAAATAGACGCGGGATTATTCACCTTTCGTTGCGGATCGTTAACGATTCCAGAAAGAAAGAATGAAAATATAGGCCAATAAATTAAACGAAAAGTAACCTATTCATGACAGAAAAACAACTATACTAACAACTTCAAACGAATCACCGGTGCCGAATCCCAAGGCGATGAATATAACAAGACCTCGTAGTGTACTTCTGCTATTGGTTTCCTTAACGTTAGCGTCTGCCCAGTGAGATAACCAAATGCTGCTCAGAGCCTTAACAAGTGACAATTGAACGAAAAAGCATGCGGAACATTTTTAACTGTCAAAGACAGCGATCACGATAAAAAAGGGGGCGCATCGGGGAAGTACTGCTTATGCGCCAGAAGAAGCAGTTACTCGGCTGTCAAGGAAAAGCAGTTTGGAGCTTTCTCGAAAGTTGCGCTGGCCGCTGAGCAGGAATTTGAAGGCACTCTGCGCGGAAAGCGATCCGCCCACTAGTTAGAGATTTGGATGAGCTGTGTTGCCAGCAGCGGTAGAAGTGAAGCAATTCGACGGGAGCATGA